AAAACGGCCGTATTCTGACCATTGCGATGAGCGCCGCGCCGTCTCGACGGGCACTCGGCACCGCCCTGCCAAATTCGGCGGTCACGGCGGCAAGTTCTACTTATACTTCAGCTGCAGTGTAAGATTCGACAATGCTTGCCGGTTCGGGCCGAGGTCAACAGTAAGAACCCTTCACCTGATCACCTTACATCGGCTGCTGTCGGAGCGACTTCTTGCCTCACATTGGTGAATCCGGCAAAGTCTCAATGGGACCAATTGAAGGGCTCTCCGGCTTGCGCCGGTTGTGACACCAACCGCGTGAAACACTGCTGGGCCAAGGCGCGATTCCGACGGGTCTGGAAGCCGCCAGGTCGTTGGGCACAAAAGAAAAAGTCAACTTTAGATTTGCTTACCGAAGGTAGTTGATAGATTGTCAACAGAATCGAAGCATAATACTGGCAATGCAAAACATGTTCCAGCTCGTAAGGTCAAAACGTAATTGCCCGAGCGCCAAGTTCCAGTATCACAATGAAAAGATCTGTCAATCGCCAACAGTGGAGATTGCGCTGGCCGTGACGTAAATTTCTGGATGTTTCAGTGCCCGCAGCGGGCATTCTCACCCCACTTGTGCCCCGCGACGCCGGGAAGGAGCTTCTGTTGAGCTCAGACCCTGCCTCACTCAGCGCGCATGGATTGAACGACCCCGCACCTTCACAATCATCCCACTTCCACGGCATCCCACTTCCATCTCGAGCTGCCCCTCCACCCATAATCCCCGACCAAATCGGAACTTGGAACTGCGTCATACAAATCCCTCATCGGCCACGGCGGATCGTTAGTGCGAGATCTGAACCTCCATCTTGTTTTCCCTCTCTTTGCTGACCTTGTTTGTTTGAAAGCTCTTTAGCTCCGTATCTTTTTTCCCTAGGTCAATCGCGACGACCTGATCCGAATTGCCCCGCCATATCCTGACTTACCATCAAACAACACAATACAACCACCAAAATGGGTCTTCTTGAGGTATGCAACAAACAAATCTGCGGCTCGGGCCGCTTTCTTCCCTACCCGGATCGGATGGCAATTCTCTGACCACAACAACCCGTGCACAGGATCTCAACCTGCCCGTCGGCGTCATCTATGGTGCGGACCCTCTCGCCGAGATCGGAGAATCTGAAATTGATCCTAACCCGTGGAATAGGCGACGATGTGCTGAAGCTCTTCACCTACGCCCGTGAGAAGGGATTCGCCATCCCCGCCGTCAACGTCACCTCCTCCAGCACTGTCGTTGCGACTCTCGAGGCCGCTCGTGATGCCAAGGCCCCGATCATGTACGAGAAATCACCAATTCCCGGCCGTGTCCCTGGCCACGTCCGGAAGCATACGATGTTGACATCCAGTGGTTAGCCTGCAGACAAGCCAGGGCGGTGCTGCCTACTTCGCCGGCAAGGGCGTCAAGAACAGCGCCGACAAGCAGGAGGCGTCCGTTGGTGGTGCCATCGCCGCCGCCCACTACATCCGCGCCGTCGCCCCTCTCTACGGCATCCCCGTCGTCCGTAAGTGCGCCGACTACGTTTTGCGGTCAACTGTCACTAACATGCCGTGATCAGTCCACACCGATCACTGCGCCAAGAAGCTCCTCCCCTGGCTCGATGGCATGCTCGACGAGGATGAGAAGTTCTTCAAGCAGAACGGCGTCCCCCTCTTTTCCTCGCACATGATCGATCTGGTATGTTCCTCGCCCTGCCTGTCCAGTTTGCGCCACGAACCCAATGCTAACAAAATTATAGTCTGGTAGGTCACCCAAAAACCTCGACTGCGCCTACACGCCCGCCTCATAGCAGGTACTTGCTTGAACAACGCTTACGCCGTGTCACAGAGGAGCCCGTCGATGAGAACATCAGCACATGCGTCTCGTACCTGAAGCGGATGGCTCCCATGAAGCAGTGGCTGGAGATGGAGATCGGTATTACCGTATGACCAGCGCCCCTTTCCTTTCTTCGATTCGATACAACATACGCTAACGACGTCACAGGGCGGCGAGGAAGATGGTGTTGACAACACGGGCGTGAGTCCTCACCGGTGGGCTAGTTGATGGCCCCTGCTAACAACCCCCCTTAGGTTGACAACGCTTCTCTCTACACCCAGTGAGCACCGGTCCCTACGCATTCAGGAAAGGGCAAGTACTAACACCTAGAATAGGCCCGAGGACATCTGGCAGATGTGTGTTTACCCCCCGCGCGAGTGCCCAGCGGCGTACTAACTCCCCTCGCAGCGAGCAAGCCTTCCGCCCGCTCTCGAAGTACTTCTCGATTGCTGCCGGCTTTGGGTAACAAACTCTGCTATCTCCTTCCAGTATCCTCGTCACTGATGGTTTGATAGCAACGTCCACGGCGTTTATGCCCCTGGCAACGTCCGCCTGCACCCCGAGCTGCTCGGCAAGCACCAGGCCTACGTCTCTGAGAAGCTCGGCGGCGACGACAAGAAGCCCGGTAAGACCATATGTGCCCGCCTAACCCCAAGGGTGTCTTGCTAACGAACCCAGTCTTCTTCGTGTTCCACGGTGGCTCTGGCTCGAGCAAGCAGGAGTACCTTGATGCTATCAGCGTAAGCCACCAGCACCTCGCAAAGCGGTACACGAGGCTAACATTTTAAAGCACGGCGTCATCAAGGTCAACGTCGACACTGACCTGCAGTGGGCGTACCTGACCGGTATCCGGTGAGTGTTTCCAAGGTCATTTTTCTATTATCTGCATGCTAATGTGACCGTAGTGACTACGTCACCAAGAACATCGACTACCTCAAGACCCAGGTCGGCAACCCCGAGGGCCCCAACAAGCCCAACAAGAAGAAGTACGACCCGAGAGTATGTGTCTCCCCGTTTCAGCTCCCGTAAACATGCAAGTGCTAATCTCCACAGGTCTGGGTTCGCGAGGGTGAGAAGACCATGTCTACCCGCGTGACGGAAGCCCTCAAGGACTTCAACACCGCTGGCTCCTTGTAAAAATGGGGCGGCGGGTGTTAAAATATAACCGCGCACGACACCGATAATACCGGACTTTACCGGAACCACCAGGCCCAGCATAGCAATAGGCCCCCGGCTTTGATGATAGGGGCCGAGGAAATTGGTGATGGGGGGGGCGTTTGAGGTTGGGGCCTAGATAGTTTGAGGCGAGCAAAATTGCAAAATTCTCCTGCAAGCATTTTGACCCATTTTCAGTCCAGAGTGGAATTGCCGAGATAATAGGAACAGCCATAGCTTCGCCGGGATATTTGATGCTGGTTATCGTTCACATAACACAGAAGCCGGACGGATTCCTACCCAGCTCCAATAGTAAGTACTCGAAGAGGTGCCGACTGGCTACGGGGGTTTACGTCTATAACAAGTTTTCAGGACTCTATATTTCAATTGCTAATCCATAGATCCCCCTCGAACCCCCCTCGAGCAGACTCATGATTTCGAGCTCCCGGTGCCAGTTTGCCCATTCCTCCCATCTGCTCCCGCTACGGCCTCCTTCCATGCAGCAGCAATAGCGGCCCAGTACTGCTCGGCATGGGCGCGCATGTGGCCAACGTGCGCCGTGCCCTCAAACAGCTCGGCCGTCACGCTCCACCCCTTCTGGCGGGCGTCGGCCGCGTGGTGCTCAATGTCCTCCCAGCGGATGATCTCGTCCTCCTTGGAGTACAGATACAGCCGCTTCGCCCCCGCGTCGGACAGCCGCGCGTCGTTGACCGCCAGCCGGCTGTACTCGCCCGCGCTCGTCGCCCCGAGCACCCACCCGGCCCCGTACAGGAAGGCCAAAAACACCGCCGCCAGCCCCTGCGTCACCCCGGCCGGCCACGGGAACCACCCCGCCGTCCCCACCGTCATCGCCCGCGACCATGCCCCGACGTTGCGCGCGAAATCGGTGCTGCCGGGCGTCGAGTCGCATACCATCATCCCGTGGGGCATGACTGTGCTGCCGCGCGTGTGCTGGGCGAACGCGTTTAGGGTGGCGGCGCAGTTGATGCCGCCTGTGTTGGACATGACGTGCAGCAGCACGCGCCCGTCTGTCGCCTTCTTGTCTGTGGTGCTGGCGGCAGATGGGTTGGGGGTGGTGGGGGTGTCGAGAACCCAGGGGTAGACGGCCTCGAGCACGGGCAACATGTTTTGCGTGCGCGCCTCGAGGTTCTGGTAGATGGCTTTGAGGATGGGCGAGAAGATGAGCACGATCTGGGTGTGGGGGAAGAGTTGCCGGTACCCGGCCACGTACTTGGCTACGTGCCGTGGTTGTGCGTCGCCCCAACCGTAGATTATTACCGTGCTGGGGTGTGATGGGTTGGCGGGGCTGGCTGGGCTGGGTTGGGGCGCCTCTTGCACGTAGACTTGGTTGCTGAGCTTCTTGAAGCCGGCCATGGCTGAGGACTCGCCCCCTTCGGTGGCTGGTTTGGACATGGTGGGTGAGAAGGGAATCGTCTGGCTGCTGGTGAAGGGGGGATTGGATAGGTTTGAGCGTGGGTGGTGGTGGTGGCGTATCCTCGTTTGCTGTTCTGCTTTAGAGGTCCTGTGTTGAGGTATATGTACCAGCTAACGTGGGGGTCGGGGGTCATGTTAGTCGACGAGCTAAATACCTATCTAAGCTATGAGGGTTACATGCAGAATTTTTTGTTGAATAAGCTCAGCCCTGGACCCCTGGCTTCCCGTCGTCCTGGGCGGGCGAGAGAATCCACACCAACAGCCCTGTGGGTAGAGTATTGTGACATTTTCTGACATGTGCTTGCCGAGACTTCGGCGACGGCTCGCCGCCAAGGGCTGTCATTACCCCTGAATCCTCCTCAATTCCCAACCAAACTCTAAATATGCTACTTCGTATAGTTAGCAGCCAGTTCGCCAGACATTAGTATCACCTTCAACAGCCAATAATAGTATGACTATTTCAACTCATTACCATTACCCTTTAATGACCCACAGGGCAAAGCCGAGACTTCCAGGAGGAGGCTCGCCGTCTCACCAAGGTTCCTGTCGAAGCCCTCATTGAATCATCGGGCAATTGGTCTAGGGGTATAATTTTCGCTTCGCACTATATGCTACTGTGAAAGGTCACCGGTTCAAATCCGGTATTGTCCATTCATTTTGACATATTTTTGGCCGGTTGTGCCTTTCACAAACGTTTGTTGGGGGGGAGATAGGATGGATACCCCCATCCCTGTCGTTTGACCTTCAAACAGCCGAGGTCCAGCGCTTAGCTCCGACGGAGAGGCCGAATTCATGGGGCCTCGGGGTCATACAAGCACTTAATCATCAACCGGTTAATCAAGTCACCAGTCAGCCAGTCAGCCGCGCCGGTGAACCCGAACTGATACACAGGAGAAGGTAGTCGCCGGTGACACAACTAATAATATCAAGGAAACTCACATTGAAATAACCTTGTTCGTCATGGGCAAAGCTAATACAGACGGCCTCGTCCCCTTTTCGACGGCGACGGAACTCGAGCGGCTCGGCTCGCACACGTACAGAGCCAATCTTACCGACTGCTACTGCATCGGAACTGGTAAGCTTACTCGCTTCGCTGTCCTTCATCGTATGGCCCAGAACTTATCATGAGACCTAACAAAAACATCAGTGCCTAACGGGGGCTATGTGGCATCCTGTATCCTGAAGGCGGCGGGCCTCCATCTCGAAAAAGCGGGACAAAGGGACGTTCTGAACGCCCACTTTCAGTTCTTGAATCGCACGGAAATAGGGCCAGCGATCATCATCATCGAGGACGTCAAGCTTGGCCGCCAGCTCTCGACCCTCCATGCCACCCTTCACCAACACGCGCTTTTGCCCACGGCGCCGTGGATTACACAGGGGTCGACGCGCAAGGAGATTACCGCTTACTTGACCATGACGGACTTGAGCAAGGAGAAAGGCGTCTCGCTGCCAACGGGTTTCACTCTGCAGTACCCGGTTCCGGCACCTCCGCGACCCGACTTTGCTGCGCTGAGGGAAGACCGTGATCCCCATTGGATTCGGTACGAGTTCCCCGGCGGCAGCCCGCTGAGCTATGCGCGGTGCTTGCGGAATTGCGTATACTACGACCCCCGGGGCGGGCAGGCAACCAATTCCGTCCTTGACAAGTGGGTGCGGCTAGCGTCTGGCGAGAACTTCACGGCCGCGTCACTGGGGTACGTCTCCGACTGCTGGCCGTACGTGGTCGAGGCCCAGCGGCCGACCAAGAAGGAGGCCGCCGAGGTGCAAAGTCGAGGCGACCGCGTCCCGTTTGCCGCCGGCGCCACGTTCTGGTACCCGACGGTGGTGCTCAATCTCGAAATCAAAAAGGCGCTACCGGAGGGGGGGCTGGAGTGGTTGCAGATGCGGGTTCAGTCAAAGCAAATCAAAGATGGCCGGTTCGACCTAGAGGTGCTGTTGCTCGACGAGCATGGAGACTTGGTTGCGCTCAGCAACCACGTCAACTTGATTCTCGGAAGCGAGAGAAACACAGCCGATAGGACCAGAGGTGGTGATGCAACAAAGGAGCCGCTGAGTCGCATCTAAGTCACATCTGAGTCGCATCGGAGTTGCATCTGAGTTGCATCTCAGCTGCATCCGAGCTGCAAGTCTTGCTAATTTGAGCTTCGGATCTTCCTTGCCTCACTTTGACAGTGCAGTAGTCAACGCGGCACGGGAAGTACATACATGTAACGATTTGACAAGTTACTTGGCTACCAACCATAGTCATAGGTATCCTATCTCCAAACTCGTGTCGAGCGCGCTTCCAGCGCTTCCTTGAGAAAGACAATAATCATGCTATCCACTTCGTATGCACTTCATTTCACACCAGTCTTCGTGTTGGTTCTAGACTGCCCCTCTGAGGCAACCCAAATGAGCCCAAGACGCGCCTAGGATTGGGCCAACATGATGTGTCCGTTCACCTTTGCCATCTCCAGTGTCTCACTCCATCGTGTCTCACTCTATCGTGTCTCTGGCGCGTACGCACGCACAGACAACCACAGCGAGTGCTTGAGTTGTTTCTTGCCCTAGAACTCTCGCCCCAGACCCCTCGCCTCAGACCTCTCCCCCTCGCAGCTGACCGCCACGATGCCCCGAGATCACGGCTGAGCTGAAGCGCCCAATAAGATGCCGCCGCGATTTCCGCCCCGTTTGCAAAGGTGACTGGGCCGTTGTCCAGCTCCACCGTGAAGTGAGGCGCCAGTAGCCAGTAGAATTGTCGGTGAAGGCCGCCACGTCACACTCAGGAGACCACTCCCCCTGCCAAGTGGCCATGGGTCTGGAGGGGCCGGAGGGGCCGGAGGGGAGCCCGGACCCGCCTCGGGCATGATTGTCAGGCTCCAAACTAATCTTCGGGACGTGGCCATGGTTTGATTGGATTTGACGCATTTTCTGTACCGATTCGCTGGGTTCCCCTCCACCCCTCCAAGACGCGACCCCCTGAACATCCGAGGGGCTGCTTTGTGACGCGATCTTGCTATGGCGGGGTCGTGCGATGGACTTGGGCATCAACAGCTTGCATCGACCCCATCACATTGAGTCGTAGCAAACAGATAAGGTTAAATAGAAGACACTTCTCCCAAGATGATGCCCTCGATTTCATTCCTCATCACATCAAGCAACAGCAGCCAACAGCAGCAGCAGCACCACCACCACCACCACTAAGACACTCAACAAACTTCGAGTTCATCACTCACCCCACCACCAACAATATGTCTGGAATCGACAGCGCTGAGATGGTAACTGAGACCCCCCACCCCCCCTTCACACGGACAAGCTACTCACACATGGCACAGAGGAGACGGTGGTCGAACCAGACCAACGCTGACTTCAGCGGGGTCACCAAGGTCAGCCAGATTTATCAGCCCGAGGCCTTCGAGCGCGAGTGCGACTTCAGCGACTGCGAGGACATCATCTTCTGGAACGGTCAGGGGCTCGAGACGCGCGGGGACCAGTACATCATGTCCGTCAAGCCCTCCGGCCACGCCTCGCTGCCCGCCGGCGTGAGGGTCCAGGTGGTGAATGGCAAGGTCAAGTTCAACTCCCCGAGCGGCGGCGTGCGCGCCCCGCCCCCGAGCCGCGTCTCCGACTACGCTAGCCCGCCGCGCGACGCCGCCGCCTTCATGCGCGGTGGCCCCGAGGCCAGCTCCTACATGTCGGCCGCCAACATCCCCCCGCCCCGCAGCAACGCCGGCTACCGCGAGCAGATCCGCGACGACTGCAGCATCGCCCCGAGCGAGAGCATCAGCTCCGTCGGCAGCCGCGGCCAGGTTCCCCGCCGCGTCACCGACGGCTTCTGATCGCGTCCTCGCTTCCCCGGGGAGAGCGTGAGCGTTCCGTGGGCAAGTCATCGGGAAACCGTACGAGGCCCCTGAGAAAGGGGCATCCTCTGGCGCGCTTCAGCTCCATCTTGAGATCCGGGGCCCGACACGGGCTGAGCCAAAAGATATCAAGACGGCTGTGAAAGCAAGCTGGCGCTCGCTGGTTCTCCCTCCCCTGCCACGGTCCCTCTCCTCCGGCAACAACGCATCAGGGAGTCAGCATTAGACGGTTGGGAGTTTCAGATTCAGGTTTCGTTTGGGAATAGCATTGGGATTTGGGCATTGGGTATGGTTACGCATGGGCATGATTTTCATATTGAGTCTTGGGTTGGTTTGGGCATCATCTTTCACTGGCATCATCATAAACCACAGACTGTGGAACAAACAAATTGGCTGCATCTATTAGGTTATAGGCTATCCAACTTGAATACAGTGTGTTTACTGGCACTCTCAATTCCTTCATTTTTACAGAGTCACCTTCTTTTCAAGTCCTCGGAGCAATGGTCTTTACAGATACGAAGCCTACATGTAGGTATGGGGGCACACCTCCGAGGTGTCTCAAGCCCCCCAGTACAAAGCTGAAATATGCTGTGTCACCCCGTAAAAACTACAGCCAGGTCCCGATTATGTGCGATTCCTACGATTCCTACAATTCTTATTCTTACGTCTGACATCATGACATGCAACACCAACAAGACCTGAATCTAATTCAATACCCAAAGGCTACCAAAAACCAAGGGCAAGCCAGTGAAACTTACCAACTCTGCCTTCAACCTGAGCACAAACCAACAAATTGAACAAATATTCAATGGTGTTGTTGGGCCTAGAATCCCCTCGGTTCCAGTGAATCCTACCGCGCGGTGGAACGGGGTGTGAATAGCCGGGAAGACGCGCCTAAATACACCCCCTCGAGTCGAGATGGAATTGACCAGGACCGCTACAAAAAAGCACAGACGACTTGGGGGCTAACAAAGTGAACTACTGCCCGAGTGCTCGTGATCTATAATTTCCAAAACCAATACTGCTCGCCTTTACGTCCTCGTCATGGTTAGTCCCTCCAGGGCCCTAGACTTTATCAATTAGCTCAGCCCCGAGAGCCCTGTTGCCAGTATTTTTAACAGTACGCTAAAGCTGGCTGATGTGAGCTGCCGAGCACTCGTTTTCTGTAATTGGGGCCTCGCCACGAAACTCATCCCTGTTTCTGGGCAGCTCAGACTCCACTTTCAGTCCAACATTGGCTCCCTTGATCAAGGCAATGATCTCGCAGGATTTCAAAGTTCCTTCCATCCCGACTATTAAATAATCCGTATTGTTACTTGCTGTGCTGACTTCGTTGAAGCGACGCGTGGAAGCAATTGTCGAGCTTCCGCCGCCTCACATCTCGCTGGATGGCCTAACTTCTGAATTCTCCCCGTTCGCGTTTTCAAATTAAGGGGCTACAAATTACAGCATCATGATTGCGAATCTCGTGCTGCTGGCCCTCCCGCTGGTGGTCACGTACTTGGCCGCGGCAGCATGGCACCGCCGATTCAGACAGTTTGCCAACTTCCCCCAGCTCAAACCCTCCTTTCTCTGGGGTCACTTGAAAGCCATCCATGAATACACGTTGAAGGGGCCTCCGGGGATTCACCATGGTATGTTTTCTCCAACACAAAATCGTCGACTGCGGTTGAAGCGAATAATTGACCCATTGGTCGCCAGATCCTGTCTTTGCTACAATGGTGAAGGACCTGGGGAACCCGCCCATCATGTTGCTCGACCTGCGTCCTGTCACCTATCCCATGGTGCTAGTGAATAGCCATGAGATCGCCG